CATTTTGAACAAATGTTATCACTTGCTTCGTTTCGTAAGAATGGACCCAATATTAGTATGGTGTTTTAAAGTTTGTTAATACCGATTGATGTTCATATGTTATATAACAGTTTTGTTATTTTCTATCTACCTTTACTTACCTGTTTCTGTTCGTATTTCAGAGCTAATTTCAATCGAGAGAGTGTTAAGTTACCACTGTCTACTTCTTCATCGAATTGATCTTCGGAATCATTTGTTTTATTCATGACTGCAACAACTTCTTCTGTGCTTCTACACTGGTCAAGTAAATCTACAGCAAACCTTTTACATTGTTCCAAGAGCGTAAGATATATATCTTTAAACTCATTTTCTCTCATTGCCATGTGCTGCAGTTCCCAGCTTAGTCTGAAAGCTGTCAATATCGGGTCATTGCTAGTTAAAGCCATCCATGCTGGACTTGCAAGAGCCTTGTAAGCATTGATTCTCTTTAGCGAATATCTTAGACTGTCGTGTTTTTGTCGTACCTTGCATTGATCACAATCGCAGATGACAGAATGCGGTTTAAAAATTGAAGCACCTCGAGTGAGAAGAAGTTGCAATATCTCAAACTCATTTACATGAGCTGCTAAGATTATTGGTGATATATCAGGAGAATAGTCTGAGCTATCAGTTTTAAGGCTGTTCTTCATATCGTACCATCCTTCCCCGAGCATTTCAACACTAATACTGGGGTGATTGACCATCATTTCCACCATCTTGTATACGCCCTCCTTAATTGCATAAAGTAATGCATCTCCTATAAAAACATTTTCCTGTGCTAATAAAATTTCAACAATTTCAATATTTTCATTATCCACAGCCATCTGCAAAGCACTTCTGCCCAGGATGTCCGTGACGTTGACATTGACAGGGTCTTCTGTGTTTTTCAGGCAACGTAGAATTGTAGCTTTGTCTCCTTTCTGTGCTGCTTCTAATAAGTCACGTTCGTTTTTCGTCAGTCTATTACCCTCGCTAAACAATTGAAGTGGAATACTACTCATACTAGATACAAGATTCATTGACGTTGGTAACGATGCTGAGACAGTTGGTATAACTGTCTGACACGAGTCAGTTCCAAATATGCCAACTGGGAAAAGGTTCATAGTTGAAGGTGTGGTTCGTATTCTGAATGACATCATTTACCTGCGAGCAATAAACAGGTTTACATCACTTTTTATTAGATATGTTACATTTTATTATTATGTTATGTCACTTTCATGGTTGCACGTCATCGCTTTCTTTCCGGGAGTTTTGTTTTTTTAAATACTGATGAGAAA